ACAAGAAGCAGCCGATTGATGTTTCTCTCCCACATCAATATGTCTCTCCCTCTCTTCCCTCTCTCTAAAAATAAGTAAATAAAATCTTTTTTAAAATGGTAAACTTTATTTTTTAAAAAAAGCAAACATGTATGAACATAGCAATAATTCCAATTTAGGAGAATAGTTGCTAGCTTGTTTAGAAAATAATAATAATATTATATTTATATATAAATGTAGAGACTTTACAATTAATTTAAACTAACTGATTCATAAATTAACATGTACAAATAGTTGAATTGCTAGTGAATGACCACCTCGAAATACATTAGAGTTAAATGCAAAGTCATTGGTAAATGCTCCTCTGTTTTATAATACTTAATTTTTTTCTGACAATAGCCATAACTTTAAAGGAGAAGGTAGAATTCCTGCTAAGTTCCCAATTACATATATATATATATATATATATATATATATATATATATATAATGTCCAGTGTAGAGAGCAATATAACTTGTGCAAATTGAGGTTAGGCAAGCATATGGTAAGCATGAATTACCCCCGAAATAGCTATAGCACATAAGAAACATAAATTACACACATTGAAAATTTATTTCATTTTTAACAGCCTCTTTCATTTAAGTGGTCAAATTCACAATGAACATTTTACATACGGTGGCTGAGCTGTATTTTGCAATCCAGGTGTGACCTGATGGCAGAAGTACATTTACCACCACACTTTCCCTGTTCAAGTTAAACCACCTTCAAGTTATGTGTGTTGGAAAATCACAGCATTACAGAGATAGGGAAGGGGACACTTTTAATACACTTCCAATAACTTGAGAGTTGTCCTGCAGGCAATTATGTGGCTTTCAACTTCCTTTGCAAGTCATTATGGCCACAGCCAAATTCAAACTTAAAAGAAACTTTGCATCCATATATTTGTTTAGAGCTGGACTATTATTAAATGCTTTGGTCTTCTTAATTCAGCATTAATTTTCAGTTTTACAGGAAAGCTCTTTTTCAGTTTGAGTCATTTGGCTATAATTTTAAGCAACTAAGAAATTTCTCTGGGTTAGCAATTCAGCTCACTCAAGAAAAACTTACCCAGTATAAGGCTGCAAGGATTTTTTTGTCTGGAGTCCAACATCTGTAGCACCGGATTATAGATTGTTTCTAAAATAATCTTAAATTGATGGATCATTGCAACTTCCATTTGGGCTCGACAAGAAGTAGCTCTGGCATTTCCTCCCCTTTTTTATGCTGTAAATTGTATATCATCCTTTTAAGCTCTTGCCAGAAAAATGAATTCTTACCCACTTCAAGATTTTATAAACTTGAATTTTACTTAGTGGTATAAGGATTTCTTTTACAATGAGTATATATCAAGTGCTGTTTCATGAACAAATTTATAAAATAATAATTATTTTTGTCAGGCTATTTTAAACTAAGCAGTATTAATAAATAGTCTTTCTCAAGAGTTGCACTTTGGGATCTTTTTCCTACTAGTGGTGTGTTCACAGGCACTAAACTTTGTGCTCTTCATGTTGTTTAGAATCAGGTACTTTGCTCTAAGGATTTTCTAGGAGTAAATTAACGGTGGGTAAACAAACATGCAGAGGAATTTCTAAATATTGACCTAAGGTCCAAATGTTTTTGCACCTTCTTAGCCATCCATCCTTCACTGCTTGTTAATCTCTCAGCCAAGCCTTTGCGTTCACCTTTCTTTTTCAGATGCGCCCATTTCCATTTTAGCCTCTTATTTTTACAATAGAAGGGGAGTGTCTTTTCATTTTTTGCTAAAAATAGGTTAAATTGTAACTTGACATTTATATCGCTGTTGTGAAGTCTAAGGCCTAATGAAAGCAGAGCCATGCCAGGGGGGTGGGACTCTCTGGGAAAAACCACAGTCTGACCCTTGAGTGAGCTGCTACATCATCCTGAAGCCAGAGTGGCACAGAAGGGTAGAGTCCATAACATGTTCAGACTTATTTAGTAGGCCCTTAGCAAAGCAACTAGAGCAACCTTTTATATCTGCTCCTCATTGTCACTCAGGAGAATATATGACATTCAAGTAAGTTGGGGAACACACAAGACACACCAAGATAAACAAAGATGGTTTCTGTAGGGTTTGTCAGAGCCTTTATTACACTATTGTGCATTGTGAATTTTCAAGAAGAAAAATGCATAGAGTTTCTTCAAAACTTATTTTATTCTGGAATGCTATTTTTGTGAAATATATCACAGAAATAGTGTGTTGCAGAACTCACTTTTGTGAAAGCTGTCCTGGAGATAGTAGTGCCAAACACATAGTAAAAATGTATTTGGTTTCTGAATCGGACTCCCCCCACACCAGTAATACAACTCAACTTTATTTTAAGCAACTGGAAATACAACTTACTCTTTTTGGAGTTTTTCATCTTAAATGGTAGATTGATTTTTTTTGGCCATGCAGAGCTCTTATTTCTTTCAATAGCCTCTGTTTGCCCTGCACATATCTTTTACTAGTTGAAGCCTTCAGAAATAATGGTGCTTGCAGTGCTTAGCTTTTCCCACCGAAATTCTGGTATCTGTTGTTTTGAGGTTAAATAAAAACCATAGGATTTTTTTAAATTGTAGGATAGTAGTCTAGCTATTTTTTGAACTTGTGGTTGACTTTCTATGTGGTCCTAAACTAACCACTTAACTATTTAATAATCTACTGTGGTAGAGACTAGGTACATTCCTATTTGAGTAATGAAGTTGATAATAGCATTAAAACATTTTCCCAAACACCCCCAGTTTGGGGGCCTTCATTGCTAGAAATGTCTATTTATACTGTCTATTAGAAAGGAATCTCAACTAATTTAAGTGTTAATATGAGTACATATATCGCCTATTTACATGAATCATATAGTTTAGTAGTTGGTAACTTCTACCCCAAATTAGTCTTCACTATCAGCATCTTTTCTAACATAAAGCTTGACTAATTTCTCAACACATCAACCACCAGTTGGTTGATAGTTAAAACATAAATTGCCATTAAAATCTATATATTATATGCATGCAAACAAGCACACATTTTGTAACAGTGAATAAGAAGGATAGCATGTATTCTGTGTAATACACATTCACATTTTTTTACTTTTTTCTTAACTGCATTTTTTAAAAATTTATTGCAAGTAACTCGATTTTCCCAAGTCAGGAAATAATTCCAATCTAAAAAAATTTAACCTGCAGTAATGCAAATACAGTAAAAATACAAAACTATATGTTATTTAGTAAAATCTACTTATAAGTGATTATTTTAAAGCATTCACAAGTTAAGTTGGTGTCATTAAAATTGAGTAAGTGTGCAGAGAAATGGGCACAGAGAATACAGGTTTGAGATGAATGATTGTTCCATATTTACACGTGCATAAAAGCACAGCATGAACATTTGTACATAGAAAATGTAGGAAATGGATGCACTGGCAGAAATACATCACAGGAGCTCCCTTCCAGGCAGGACCCACCAGCTAAGGTAGAACCCTTTCCCCAAGAGGGGTGCTGACTTGCAGCTCCAGCCTCCTACTCTCCACCCTATGTAAACAGAGTCTGGGTGTCTTCCTCTAGCTTTGGCCATGCTCTCCATTCTGAGGCCAGAACTTTTGCTGAGAAGGAAAAGTATAAAACTCTCTGGAGAAATAGCCGACCATGAAGTTGTGCTGTGGCAAGTCACAAATGCACAGCTTTGGTCCTTCTCAATCTCTTTAAGGAGAGAGAGGCATACCTTCCTGGTCACAGAAGTGGTGCTTTAGAGATTTATGTTTGTGAAGGGATAGAAATAAAGCAACTCTGCCTGCCTTGTCTGCCTAGGGGCTAGGTAGGTCCACATAGGTCAAATAAAGAGTCCTCCAAAATCCAATCACTGTGCCAGTGTCCAATAATGGGCTCTGAGACCACAGACCCCACTGCCTTGCAGTGAAGTGTTCCTTTGCCTCTATTTATTCTCTGTGCTCATATATCCCTTGCCTTGGGATGTCTGGTCGAATGCAGAGTTCAGTATTGCTTAGCATCCTGTCCTTCCCTGTCTCCTTAACATCACTAAATTCTCTCTCTTCCTAATTTTAATGTAAAACCAAGCAGGCCTCAATATTAATAATTAGCATTTTTAAAGTCTCAATTTATAGAAGAGGGCTTTACTTTCTCTGTAAGAATCTTGTGTTGAAGCAGGGAAAGTATTATCAATAAGAAAACCACATCCTAATGTTTCATTGGTATTCCAGCTCTCAGTACAGTCTTCACATAAGCAAACATTTCTGATTCCAGTGGAACTCCTCTCCAATGCAGATGGTACAGGATTTAGCCTTGTATCCAGATGTGAGCTAAATTGGCCGACCAAAATAAATGCAGAGACTTAGAATTGTGCCATGCATCCAAACGTCTCAGACCCTACCTTCTCCACTACACATATTCCGGTTAGCCTTCGTCAGGAACTCTCTGCTCACACTAAACACTAAAAATATTTTTCCCAGCCTTTGTGTACACTTTCTATTATTAATTGTACATGTAGTTTTCTACTTTTCTCATTTGGATTCCCATTTATTTTACCCATGTCTCACCTGTTTCCTTCATTGACTATAAACACTTCAGAGTCTGAATCCTGTTAAATCTGCACAGTAATTTTTGCTGTCTCACATAACATGTATTCATTTCACAAACATTCATAGAGCACCCACAATAGCCAGGTGCTATGAGGATAACAAGCTATGAATTCTTTCCCCCAAAAGTCATTAGTTCTATCTCCATACAGAGAAGTATAAAGAATAGAAGATGAAATAGTTGCCTTAGACATTGTTTCTCTGAACCTAGAAAAATTTTGGCTTATGTTGCATTCCCTGTTTTGTCAAAGCCAATCAGTGCCTTTACTTTCCTTCTCTAAATTGAAATTTAAAAAAAGAAATCAAGAATGCAGAACTTTATAATTCAAACAAGCTACTATTTAAAACTCCAATGAAATATTTTTTTTTCTTTCTCCTTCTCTCTCTTTCTCCCCACAGGATAGTGGCCAAAGCCTCCAAGAACCTCATGTCGACCCAAAGCTTAGGGATTGTATTTGGACCCACCCTTCTGCGAGCTGAAAACGAAGCGGGGAACATGGCGATCCACATGGTATACCAAAACCAGATAGCGGAGCTCATGCTGAGCGAGTACAATGAGATCTTCGGCTCGGAGGAAGACTGACAGACAAGACAACTCACTGAATATGTTCACATCTGTCTCGATGCCTAATATTTTTACATTTCTGTAAACATATTTCTGAAATATTTTTTTCCTTTCAAGCGACAGATGTCTCATTTTGTGAAAACTTAATGATGATTTTGTGTTCAAGTTCCAAACATTTGAATAAAATAGTTGACAATATTTGCCTATATGTGTTCTACATTAACCCCGTCAGTGCTCTTCCTTCTCACACTTCTAGCTTGTACATCATGCATGCTCCGCATTATTCAATAATGTTCGGAGTATGGCACATACCCCCCAAAATAATTTTAATGGGGCTCCTGGGCATGGGGTGTGTGGTTGTATGTGCATAGATATGTGGGAGAGTGTGAGCATGGTTGAGAGCACCAGGTGTGCACACAGGTGAGCCTTCTCATTACCCTGGCTGCCTCCTAAATGCTCCCACACTTCTCCTTATATGTGAGAAGAACCAAAAGAGGAAGGAAGGCAGAAATTAATACATTTTAAATAGAAACAAGGAGGTCATGTTCTTAATGAAAATGGACACATTTTATCTTTCAAGAACATTTTTATATGTGTAAATATAGTCTAGACATCCTTCCTGCTGGATGGTAGAATGTACAAATTATCACTGAGTGACAATTTTTTTCTGAAGAAAAATGACAGTTCAGAACATTCGCCACTGGATATGTTTTTTACATATACTATTTGCTGCCCCATAAACATACTGTCTTATAAATTAGAAGTAAAATTAGTGCCCTGCAATTTTGGTCTTTATATTATACAGGAATTGCATGACTGCTCAATTTTAATGTTAACATCCATTTTGAAGCTTTGTCAAACTGTATATCCTCCTTTTCCCTTGGCTGTGTCATTTTATGTAGAATTTTTATTATGCTTCTGAGGATGCTTTATTGGTGAATTACATTAAATCAATCTAGAAAAAATCTTTTTTAAAAGGCCTTTTTTCATATGCCCTAAGGATTACTTGACTAGACTTGGATTGCTTTCTCCATTTGATAGTTAGTTTCAGTTGTCATCAATAAACAAAAGGGTAACTGTCTAGGATATATCAAACATTGTTTTATTTTGAAAAGTATGTTCTAGCTGAACACATCTCAAACCGGTTTTGTAAAACATTCTGCTGATACAAATGTAGACTTATGTCTGACAGCGTTTTAATCAAATTCAAACGGAATAAATAAAACTAATCCAGTATGATAAAGAATAAGTCTAGTTATCGATTTGTTCATAAAATGAAAAATAAAGTATGTAAATAAAACACGTGAAGCAAGAATCCAAGAGCAAACACCGAGAGCAATAATGAGATCAGAGGCACAGGGGCCTGCGGAGATGGAGTCCACGGCAGAGAGTCTGCTCAGGAGAGAGCGTCATGTGTACACAGCTCCAGCTCCCACAGAACTGCCTGAGGAAGGAGAGACTTCCCTTGCCCACTTGAATGTCTTCATTTTGGCAATGGCGCCACTACATCGGCTCGTGGCCAAGAACAGAGAAACAACCACAGTAAGTGCTGAAGTGTGGTTTTATCAAGTGGGATGTATACACATACCACAAAGCCAAAGAGAATCACATGAGGCAGAACCCCATGATCTAAAGGCACTGGTAACAATGAGCTAACAGACTTGTCAGCTTTAAGCTCGTATATTGAAAGTTGTACTTATGCCTTTCGGAAAAACATGGAGCTGTCAAACAAGAGTTTCTGGTAGGCTATTTCAAGTCCTTCTCATTTCCATGGCATTCCATATTATCAATTATGCCTTCCTGAAGACTTTAACCAATTCTCTTTTTGAAGGGGAGAGTAGGGTTGAGTTCCCAGCATTAAACTCTTACCCCTTCACATGGTCATCTTTGAAGTAACTCAGGAAGCATCAGCCTGAGAGAAGCAGCAACAACAGCCGAAGAGAAGTGGCACTACCTGCTTTGAGGGTCTCCCACCCCTCAACTCTGCAGCCTTCCAGATCCATAATCTCCAAAAGCACCAGCTTCTTGATTTTCAATCGGATGGGATTTAGCTGGATTCAAACCCCAGCTGCGCCCTGTCCCTGACTGCTAAGGACATTTAATCAGAGACTGTATTTCCTCTCCGGGAAAAGACCATTCCAAGGTGCTGAGCCAAAGTGCCCATCACAGGATCTGCCTTATATACATTCTAAAGGCCTGGAAAAGGTTAGACCAAAAGGTCATTGGACTCCACAACATCTCAAAGCCAGCAACGATGGTTATATCAACTAACTCTTCCAAGTTTAAAAGCCACGATTGTAGGTATCATAGGTTAATTCATTAAGGTACTAGATTTTGTAAAACTGATCAATATTCTCCATTCAGAACACATGAAAAGACAATGAGTATTTCTTTTTCATCTTGTTTGACCCAGGTGCGAGTTTAGACTCTACTTTTTTTTTAATATTAAATTTTATTTAGTTACTTTTCAAGTACATTTTTTTTAATCTATTTCTCCCATCCCACCCCCCCCCCCCCCCGCCCAGTATCCCCCCTCCCACCTATCCCCCCCCCCAGTCCTCATCTCTGTGTCTTTCATACTTGTTCCTCAAAATCCCTCCCCCTTTTCCCCTTAAGTTCCCTTCCCTCTCCCCTCTGGTCACTGCCCACTTGTTCTCTATTTCAGTGTCTTTGTTTTTATTCTGTTTGCTTGTTTGTTTTATTCTTTAGCTTCCTGTCAAAGGTGAGATCATATGGTATTTGTCCTTCACTGCCTGGCCTATTTCACTCAGCATAATGCTTTCCAGTTCCATCCATGTTGTTGCAAAAGGTAGTAGCTCCTTCTCTAGACTCTACTGATCAAATATAAAATCAGGCAAATATCCCTACCCTCTCTAGTTTCGCAGTCCAGTCAGGGAGATAATCAATTAAGGGTTCGTTACACTTCAATACAATCACGAACTGCACTGTCTTGGTAGCCATGTAGCCCCAGGGATCAGCACTTATACATAGAGATGCTCAAAAAGTATTTTTTATCCAGTTTTACTGATGAAAAGGTATTTCTGAATGAATGAATGAATGAATGAATGAGTAGAAGCTAGTACAGAGATACTAGCAAAGCTCAGTGGTTGACAAAGAACCAAAGAACAGGTTGTGCCTGGGGGTGGCAGGTGAAGAAGAGTCCATGGGAAGGTAAGCCTTTCAGTCTAGTCCCGACCAATGAGTGAGATTAACCAGGCAAAGAAAAATATAGAAGATATATAAGAAGCAGGAATGGCATGAACAGACTTGTGAAAGACCCTATATCTCCAACATAAAGTGAGAAGTTGAGTGAACACAGGATGGAATGCAGGCCTGTACATTTTGGAGGATGGAAGTGAAGAGAAATGTTGGGGTCAGATATAGGTCATGATAAAATATTTAGATTTAATCCTCTAGGCATAAGAGATCCATATAACCAAGAGGTTGTAAAATAAGAAAGCCACAGTGAAACTTTATCAGAAAAAGACTCTCTAAATTCATCAGAGGGCAGGAGATACATCACTTTTTGAGGACCCTGGCATTCTCTTGTGTAGGCATTTGTATGATCGTATGTATGAGCTTGTATTTGGGTATGTGTGTATACTTTGTAATATTTTCTAGGAATGAAATTATAATCTTGTATTCTTAGAAGCATTTTTCTATTGTGATGAGCAAATATTTTAACAAATTATAGCCTTAAGATAAAGGAAGCACAAGTACAAACAGTCTCCCTGGAAAATCAAGCTGGGTAAGGGCATCCCAATTCAGCTTGGTCTTACACAGACTCACCCGGACATGGGAGGCTGCCCTCCCCTACTCACACAAAACCTTCTTGGAGATGGTATTTATTCTGTCCTGTATGTTGAGAGAGCCATATGACAGGATCACCATGCCACAGCTAGTAACTGAAAGCCATGTGATGGTCCTCCCTATCCAATTAGAAAACAAAGGATCCAATTAAGAAAAATTAGAAAAGCTGTTAAAAGAGAACAATCACTTGCCAATGTTGCTGTCCTTATAGTTTAACACAGCCAGAAATGGACCTGTACTTTTCCTTTTCATATTTATTTTTGTGAATTATAAGTTAATCACCTTGTCAATTCCTAATTAAAAGGTCCTGCCAAGATATTCATTCAAAAACACTAGAGTTCTGGGTCAAATTGCTCTGTTGTCAAAAATAAAAAATAACACCAAAGCAATATCAACTCTCCTGGGAAAATCAAATCTTAATACAAACACCAAAGACTTTCTTTGAACATAATAATCACATATATATTTACTCAACTAAAATGTTTCATCTTACCTTTAGGAAATAGTGGATTTTTTCTTTCTTTTTTTTAAATACAAGTTTTACAAACTCGAATGCTTATTTGTGCCAGGCAGGTAATATAAGTAATAAGGAGTGGCAGGCTTCAGGCATTATAAAGTGGTAGCAGCTGGGGAAAGCTTAAGCCAACCCCTGGCCAAAGGGGTCGTTGGCTCAAGCACCATTGCTTATGTGGGAATGTGGGCGCAATTTGCCATTCCTTCAGCTCTTTCATGGGAAGCCAGAATTTCAGAAACTTATGTGAAACCTGATTTCTAAGGGCACCTAATAAAACATATCTGCATAGACTCAGCCCAAGCACCTTCATTTTCATGAACTCACTATTAAATCTTCGATGTTGCAAAGCCTGCTCCCCAGAAAATGTAACACCTGAAGCAAATGGCGGGGATGTGGAGTTGAGCCACAGTAAAGTGTATGAGGACAAAAGAGGCAGACTAAGCCCTCAGGACTGGCTGTTTGCATCCTCGGCAAATTATCTACTCTATCTGGGTCTCAATCTTCCCATTATAAAATAGAATATGTAATATTTACCTTACCTTGCCTTTTAAGAACTCTCTATTGGAATCGTGGAGAAAATTAAAACAGGTAATACACCATGAAACTATACATTGCTCCTACTGGATAAGATGATAGCCCTCCAGCTCACTAGCAATTAACTTTCATCATCCTCTAAAGATGATGAGAAGGAAGGTTGGAACCAGGCTCTGGAAGGCCTTGAAGGCCATACCAAGAAGTTTTATATTAAGTCTATAAGTCAATACGGAGACCCTAAAGGTTGTTTAGCAAGAAAGTGATTTTATCAGAGCTGTAAAGATTCCCCTGGCAATTTTATGGAGCAGTGTTTGAAGCAGGGAAAAGTTATAGGCACCAT